TAACGTCTCTTACGTCACATCCGCCTTCGTTCCTGATCGCCGATGACTCATTCTTCATGGCGCCTCGATGTCTATCGAGATTCCTGGAATGCTCGCTACAATATTATGTTATACATAGGTATATATTTTTTCCCTCTCTTCCAGACCAACCCAGACCTACCGGAGGAAGAGTCTACTGTACTGGTAATTGGCATTCCTCTTAGGGTAAGTCTTCTGCCATATATCTATATTTCTGTATATATATTTATTTCTTTCAGATACTTTATTACATCAGTGTATTTTACAGGATTGTTTAGTACCCCTAAGGATATGTTATATTTATATCTATAGTATGCAGTCGTTCATAATATGTTGCACCGTCAGGGTTTCCCCGCACCGGGCACATTTTTTATTTTTCTTTCCCAATAGGAGGTGACTATGGGTTAATCTTGTATGTCCGATTCGTAGTCTTGTGATTGCAATCTGATCTTTTCTTTTAATTTTCCATTTGGTACACCTCTTCCCCTCTATCTGTGGGTGGATTACTCTAAGGTCTGTTTCCTTTGTCGACCATACTTCCTGCCATTTTACAATTAAATCCTTGTTTATTTCTTTTAAAAGACAATCTGTTACCTCTGTCCTATCAATTTCCGGTGTTTCTTCTTCCCACAGGTTTCCATCTAATTTTCCATAGTCGCGTATTTGTTTATTCAATTTCACAATTGCCAGTATAGTTCTGGTGTGTTGCCATTCGTATCTGGGGTGTAGTATGGGATTTGTGATATCTTCAAGTAAGAAATGGGATGGTTGTGCAAGTAACTTTACGGCATACCTAAGGTGTTGCTGCTTGAATTTCAAGTAAATGAGTAACGAATGATTTTCTACATTGAGGCGGTCTATTGGTGATGTACGGTATGCCCCCGTTATTAATAGCATGACTTTGTTCCACACCCCATTATATTATATTTTATTATAATATATTATATTATATTATACCAATGAGTGGAATGGTGGTGCAACTAAAACGGACGATATAGGAAAGTGTGCATAAAACGATATTCATCTACCGTGGTCCGAAGTTTTAAAAAGTGCGCTTCAAAAGTTTTACCAACCGAATCGAAATAATTGTTTTCGTTCTTTGAAAAATTTTAAAACAATTAAATTTAAATTTAATGGCGCTTCAAGACGTTGGTCCATTTAGCCGAATCCTTTTCTTTTCGTTTTTTCGAATATTCTAACGACATTCAAAACAGGTCAAACGACATTTTCACAATGGATAAGCAAATAAACGAAATTTTGACCAATTGGAAAATAATTAAAAAAATGCATGTGGTGTGAAAACGCCGTGATAGGCTCATAGGATTTATAATACCGTTTGGAAAAACGCGAATACTTTCTTCTATGCAGTTGTTTAGATGCGCTAATTGAAGCCGCGTTTTTAATCACGGTGATTTAGGTACCTACTTCTTCAGATCGAAAGCGGCATATCTGCACTTATAAATGTTTTTTTATCAACAGTTCATTACGCACCGTTAAAACAGGATTAAGAACGAGTTCGCTCAAAAGTAGATTGTGCTGTTCCAGCACACTTGCATGGTACATCTCCCTAGTAGTACTTTTACGGTTTACCTGGTGCTAAGCGCCATTTTAATTTAAGAATGTTTCATCGGCAGAGCAAAATTTAGTACAAACTCTAAATTTGTAAGGTGCGAATAGAAGAGTAGGTCAATAAACATTATGGTACTAGAAACAATTATTGTAATGAAAGGTTCATTTCGCAATTGTTTTTAAATTATTCGTAAAGATAGACAGTTAATTTTTGATTAACTACAAACTAGTTTATGGTATTAATATGTCCAATTAGTTTTTATGACGCTTTTAAATGAGTAGTTTGATGAATTTGAACGATGTAAATACCAAAACACGTGTTGCGTTTTGTTGTAATCTATTTATAGTAAACTTGGCAACGTGTGAATATTTCTATTTTTGCATCTTTTTTTCCTTCTTACAGGCCTGCTGCGTACGACAGGTATATTGAGAAGAGAAGTACATGTAGCTGGCTTGCCGAACAGAATGCGCCGATGGTACACGTCGGATCGTTGTTCAGAAAAATCTTAATGCATTCCAAGCAGGAGCATCAACGGATCAATTTTATTGTGATAAAGTTTCAAGTGCTGAAAACAAAGCGCGTCGCCTATCAGATGATGATTAGCTGAATAATTAATACGCGCGTGCTGTTTAAATAAAATTTAGTTGCAATGCGTAATTTGGATAGTTCGAATATGCTCCATGGGAGATTCGCCCAATTTATTGCGGTTTTTACAGGTGAGTTTTCTTATATAATTTTTTTTCATTCATCGCTCTTACAAGAACGTTCGTTGGCCCGACTCGCAGCGCGCGATCACCCTTGCGATAAAATTCTACTATCTGCTCTTTAGTTTTTTATTTAAACAGTTGCCCAAGTAAAAAATACGCACCGACTTCGATCAATTTTATAAAAGAGGAATGCCACCTGCTGCAAGCTACAAAGAACATTTATCATGTGCTTTGTACACGTTGCATGCGCTTGGTGCAAACGTAAATGGGGTAGTACCTATAGGGGGTGGTACCGAAAAGTGAACTTAAATTTATTATGGTCGCTGTGTTGTGTTTGAAAAAGTCACTTTACCACTTGCCAGTTTATTTATAGGTATGTACGCAAATTATGTACTTTTTTTTAAGATCACGTTGCCGACATACATCAGCTTTCACCTCATTTTCATACGGGAATTTTTAAAATATACTTACTCCTTGCCAAATCAACTTTGCTAATAACATTCTTTAATAATTTATTAGCTATGATACGTACACCTGATTCACTCTGCGTCTGTATTAGATTTCCAGTAAACGAAACGCTAGCGCCCTTTGGGATTTTTAACGCCATCATAGATTTGGTGGAAAAGACCTTTACTTTGGTTGGATACTTTGTTAACTCTAGGTGCATAATTTTTCAGGTTAGCGCCACCAGGTGAGTGGCGCAGGGAGGGGGTGACAAATCTCCCTCTCATTTGTATATTTTCATCGTTTTATGCTCTTGTGACCTAGTGCCACTTTAAGCTATTACATATGGACTGTTTTTATTCCTAATTGGGAAAGTAAAGATTCATCATAGAGGACAAAACTTCAAAGCACAAAAGGAACGATTCTGCTCGTCCCATTGTCTGCACTTTATTAGTAATCGGTCTTTTTACAATTGGAATTTGTGTTCTAATAACGCGTGTGCTTTTAAGAGAGTCGCCTAGATAAGATGTCTGGTGGTGTCATAGGGTCATATATGTAATATGTAAACCATTAGTGGGTTGTTTGGTGTTTCAACTTTCAACTTCGCACGTATGGTTGGCCAGCTAAGGTATAGTAATAGGAGTTTATCAAAAAATAATGTTTCAAAACTCACTCGTGCGGGTTACCGCGTAACACACCTGTAAACGATGAGTAACGGGGAAATATAAGACCATAGCAGCTAATCAGTTAGCTACCAGTAGTCAGTTAGCGAAAACCCGAAGATCTCGATGGAACAGACACACAGACGACGGAAAATCGAGCACATAAGCGTTACCTCAACTTCGTTGTGTTACGTTAAAAAAGGGTCACATAAAGCGCATGAAAACAATATAAATTAATTATGATGAGCATTGAAAAACCACAAAACCACAAAAACGATCGAATTTCCCCTTATATTATATACCTAAGTAACTCCGATATGCATAGCTTATTCGTGTATAATTACTTTAGTAACAGGCAACAAAAACTCAAAATAAACGCAACAACCATGTCTGCAAACAGACCCTTCACACATTCGACAGATAAGGTACGAATCAGCCCTTCAATGATAGGAATAAAAGTATAACTTTTGCAATTTTGTTTGTATTAGTTTGGAAAAACTTATATTATGCTATAGGTCCGTCCTTTCTTTATCTACGTACGTCAATCTGTTTTTGCAGAGTGGTTCGTCATTATAGAAGTTATATTTTTACTCCTATCCTTGGAGGGTAGATTCGTCCCTTCACTCTGAATCTGCAAAATTGGTCTTCGCAGAAATGTTGGGGACCCACTTCTAGAATGGTTTTAGGGTTCTGAAATTTTCTGCAATGGGTAGTCTATACCTTGAAGATGTGCCATACCATCATCCAATTTTGTGGTGTTAAGGACCCCCCCCCCCCACGAATTATTTCCTGTTTCTCGAGATACCTACTGTTTTTGAAAGTAAAGGTCGATTCTCACTCGCGCTGCTCGGCTGCAAAGCGTCGCTAAAAAAGATTTAATGATGAATGCATTCTTACTTAAAGCTACAACTACAGTTTGCGACGCCACTCGTTTAAAAACATGTAATCTTATTTAGCGGCACTTTGCAGCGCGGCATCGCGTCGTGTTGCCGAGCTTAGTGCAGCGCAAGTGAGAATCGACCTTAACTTTTATATGCGACAAGCAATTTTGGTCTCATATTTTGCATACGCATGCATTTAGTGATGCCAAGTAAAACTTTTGAAAATGGAAGGGGGGGGGGATATTCTAGTGAAAGGGCTCAACAAAAGACCTGTTCTCAACCAACTACCGCCCTTCTTCCTTACCCTTATCAGAATAGGGGGTGGGGCTCGGGGTGGGGGCTGGTTAGTCCTTCTCGTCGACCCCATATCGTGATCGGTTATGATTCCATATGTCTCAAGAGCGGATTGTCGGAAGAGGGTACTCACAAATAAAGATTAGGACGTCTGGAAGAAATATATCCATTGGTGATGTCAAAACTTTAAAAGCGAATGTCTCGAAAACGGTTTGTCGGAGGAGAGTACTCTCAAAGGACGACTTTGTGGTTCGATGGTAGAGCGTTGGGCTATAAAGCCGGAGGTCGGGTGTTCGAACCTGAACTGAGCTAAGAATTTTTCATCTGTGACAGAGCTGGGACTTTCCTTAGATCAGTTTTCCTACTTCGTAAGATAAAAATACCAGAGTAGTATAGAACAACGTAAGATCTTCTACAGAGGCACATCTAAAAAGCATTATGCGGGTCACTGGGCCCAGAACAAGAGAGGGATAATAAATAAATAAAAGGCAAAAGGAATCGTGTGAACGAGACATATCTATTGGCGAAGTCGAAACGAAAATCTTGAAAACAATGTGTCCGAAGAGCCACTCAGTGCGAAGATCTGCAGAACGGAGTGTCGAGGGAGGGTACTCTCAAAGGGCGGAAAGATTGTCTAGACGAGACCCATGTACTGGCAAAAAAGAACTGACTTCGACTCGCCTTTGGAAGTTCAAGTTAAATGATGTCCTATGAACACAACGATTATTTCTCTAACGAAAAGTTAGACTTTTGGGACGTTATCATCTTACTACCCATGTAAGATAGAAAAAAGAGAAAAACTGCTTATTTTAGATATTTTTATGTAGAATTCAGTGGCGTAGTAAAAAAAACTTGGGGACCACCATTTCCGAGATTTGACCCAAAGGGTCCTTCACGAGGTCCTTCACAAAGAACGTATGTATGCTTACCATCTTCAGAAGGTGCATCTGAAGGATACTGATTTCCAACCCCAAATAGAATTCTGCAGGTGGTTCATAAATCTCAGGAATGTAAGAAGAACCTTTTTGTATTAGGTACATCCTCTACTCGAAAACGTTGCGTTTGGCCGTCGACGAGATTTCTAACACACACTCACATCTGGGACGCTGTAAATCCTCACGCTTTTTTCAACCAAGGACATCAGGACTGATTTTCAATCAATGTATGGCCAGGGATAATAGGAAGTCATTGCGTTGGTGCTTATTTGCTGCCAAATTGACTGATTGGCAACGAATACGCAATCTTTTAGAGAATTTACCCTTACTGACTAGGCAATAGATGTGGTTTCAGCACGACGGTGCTCCAACGCATTCATCAAGAGTTGTGAGGGCAACCTTAAATTAGAAGCATTCCCAATAAATGGATAGGACGAGGAGGCCCTACTAGTTGGCCCGCAAGGTCACCAGACCTTTGAGCAAGAGTAGTTACTGCTGCTGGAGAAATGATAAACCCGAAATTCTTCAACGAGTTGTTTATTTATTTATTTATTTGAACAATTTTGAAAGTAATCATTATTAAAATTTGAAATACAGACTAACTTATAAGTAAGCATTAGTCGGGTGTAACCTACTAAAACCGTGCCATAACCCAGTTTAGTTTGAACTTGATTAAGATCGCATTTGTAGCAGTAGAAAATTGATTAGACATTCTTACGCATAATCCATGAATGCACGAATCTGTTTCCTAAAATAACTTCGTTATAGGATGAAAGTTACAGGAAAATGATTAAGATTTGTAGATAATTATTTAGGCAATGAATTGGTAAATTGTTTTTAAATTGGTGGAGTAAATTTTGTGCTATTCAATTTCCAAAATTTAAAATGACCGCCATTTTGTAAAAAAGTTTTGTACAAAAGTTGTAGATATGATCTGAAATAACCTTTGAAATGCGACTACAAATAATGGCGATATAAAGACTTCCAAAGTAACCAAAAAAGGTCCATAATTTGGAAACAAAGGCCAAAATGAAAAAAAATTACTTTAAAAAAGTGTTAGTTTTATAACCCCCGAGATAACCCCTATTGCGGTGTCCACTTTGAGTAAAAACACCCTGTATATTATCATTTTTATTATTTTTAAAATTTTGAAATGATGCTTAGTCTTAGGGACTAGGGACACAATAAACAAAGCAAAATCTCCTATGAATTCATAGCCTACTATTTAAAAACGGTAAAAAATAAAGTTTTTAGTTTTGATGCATGGCTAAAATGTAATGATGAAAAAGAATGCAAAAGAATGACGTTACGATATACAAGGTATTGCATTGCGAAATACCAACAATGGGTCAAACCTCAGAATTTATTTTTTCTACGCCAAAAATATCTACAATGGGGAGTTTTTACCTTTTTTCTATCTTACATGGGTAGGAAGATATGATAACGTCTCAAATAGTCAAAATTTTCGTTTTCATCCTGTATTTGAGAAACAAACATAGCTAGATTGATTTTGTTTGTGGTATTAAAAGTTTCAGACAATTGTACAGGATCGCGAAAATCGTCTCTATCTTTAAAAACAGCTGAGATACAGTGCAGTCTCATAGATAGGAATTTTTGAATAAAATATAGTTTTTAATGATAAATCTCGCGTATTACAAATCTATGGTAGAACGCATACTACAGTAGCACTGAGGTTTTGTTTTGACGTTCCACCTTAGAATATTGTAACATCCGTGAAAAGAGCACCTCTTCGTCGGACGCAGGTCTAGAGCATGTACCATTTTATTTCCTTT